CAGATAATTTCAAAAGCGAGACATTTGAAATTAGCTGTAAAAGTATGTGTCCCGTGACTTTGAAATAGCAGAATCTTGATCGAATAATCTAATCAATGTAAAACATAAAACTAATTTCTAAAACGCTTGATTTTATCATAAATTTTTTAAATTTTAAATTTTATTTGTAATGTTTTAAATGTTTTCTTTGCACAAGAACTAGATGGTAAATTTAGTAAATTTGTTACTTACATAACATTTTGGAGACATAAAAATAAATGCATAGATATTTAAAATATTGATATTGATTCTTTAGATGATAATTTTTGATAATATTCAAAAATGTTGAAGTTTAAAGGCAAGTAATATTAACTAGGGAACGGGAGTCAGAAACTTAGGCAATCACATGAGCTATGAGTTGAAGTAACACTTCGTTAAAAAAGTAATTTAGATATCAAGCAAATAGTAGTTTGTTTATTATTAGATTAGCTTTTTGATCATTATTGTATTATACGAGCTATATTCTTAACAATTATATAAATTAGGCGCGAATAATAATAAATAATAATAGAAAAAGATGGATAAATAATATGATTTTTTAGCATAAAAAAAATTTCTTCCACTATTCGCTAAATTATATAAAAAAGAAATTTGTCAATAAACAAAAAAAAAATTATGAAAATTTGCATTTATTTCATTACTTTCATGTCAATATTCTTCCACCCATGAAAAAACAAATATTATGAATTACAGCAGATATCTGGAACAGAGGCTTTAATTTTTATCAGCAAATTGATGTTGCGGCAGTTATAATAAAAATGGTATAACGCATTCCTAACAGACGCATGGATATATTGGGTAAAATACAGAAAAAAAAAATATAAAGCATGTAATCTACTTACTATTTGAAAAGATGTCCATGTTTAGGTGCGTATGAAAAAATAATCGGGTTTATCTGAAAAACATCGGGAAGTCGTACTTTTTAATAGGAAAATTCAACCTATGTTAAATATTTAAAAATTTTTATCAAACCAAGCTTTTATTAATAATCATTTAAATATTATTTTACATTTTTTTCAAGTTTAATAATAAAAAAATCGCATTTTTTTTTCGTCGTTCTAATAAATAAAGTTAATTCGTGATGAATAAAGATAATTCTTAGTATCTTGTGTTGTGGTTAGAATCGTAATTGATTGTGGATCGGAACCCAATGTTTCCAATTTTTTTTAAGAGTATTTACAGAAAAAAAGATTTCACGATTTCATGGTGCGTGCCAAATGTAGTAATTTTTTTAAAAAAATAAACCAAAAGATGGTGACTCGGAGAAAGATTTATCAAAAACAAGATTTCATTGCGAACTTTCCCATTTTTTAAATAGGAGGTTTATGATTGATTATCTCAATCTTTTACGCCAAATAAAAATTCTTTTAAAAACAGAGTATAATTTAGGTTAGATGAGTATTAACACATCCCTTGTAAATATACCCTTTATAGCAATACCAATGCGAAGCCCCCTTATCAATAAAAAAAAAAAATATCTAAAAGAAATTTCTGATAAGCCTTCCAAATAAACGGTCACGAAAAAAAATTTTTACAATGGCAGATTTGGTTAGTCTCCTAAAAAACTTGTTTATTTGAACATTTGAATTAAAACCTATTTGGGAATGATTAGTTGATCCTTGAACAATGTAATGCAGAAATTTTCAATATAGCCAAAGATTTCGGTTTGTGTTCAGAGAATTTAAATGTTATCATGTTGCAGATTTTTTTTTATCGCTTTACTTCTAACCGGTTACAACATTTTGGGGCGTTATTCTTTATTTTGCAAGTATTACAACATTGTACAGAACAAAACAATGAAACAATGATTATCTGTTAACAGTAAAAAAAAGATTCAAGGAAAATATTTCACCCGATTGGAACCAAAGGTAGTAAAAAAAAGTTATTTAAATGACAGTGATTTGATTAATGTTATCCCTTACCAGTTCCTAAAAAATCTAAATCTTACAAATATTTATAAAATTACAATTGTATCAAAAATTTTTTTAACATATTTTCGAACCCGCTGAACAATTTTACTCAAATCCATTACATTTTTTTACATTAAATGGATCAAGAAAAATTATTTGTCAAATTCTCTTGAGAATTATACAATAACCTTTTATATTATATAACGTCCGCCAAGAACGTTTAAACGTTCTTTTTTAAATTATGAACGATATTGATTTTTGTCATAATATCATGTCATCAATAAAAAACAACCCTTACCTTTTTTCGTTAAATCTTTTTAATTTTCGCGATATTAACGCTTCTTCATAATATCGCATATATTCGATTCTTCCAAAAAGGTTTTCATGGCAAAAATCGACACGAGAAATTGAAAAATTAACAATTTATGAAATCGTCAGAAAAGGACTTTCAAAGTATCAAAATTCGTCCGTAATGTATCGCTTTATTTAGTTTAGACTGTAGATATTAGATAGAAGTTTTCGTATTTTTTTTTTAATTTGTATTTGTATAAATTTAATTTCATATTAATAAAGATTTTGCGAGGCTTCCGCAAGTTTTTTTAAAAAAAAGTACCAAATTAAAAAAAAAAAAACTAAAACAATCACACGTTAGTTGGATTCGCAGGATGATTCGAAGTAACTCTTTCACACGTTAACTGATTATCAGTCTTTGGTTTGAAAAACTGCAATTAAAATCTCGTCCGATTAAATACTATGCAATTGCCTTTGTCTCTTTCCAAAAATCTCTAATGTTCGATATATCGATCTTACACCATCATCTATGAATTTGAAATAAATTTACCATTTCGTGATAAAATTTTAGAAATGTAGCAATAATTTTATGTTGCATTCATTATGACGCGGCAGAAATAAAAAACTTTATTCTTGGTCATTTGAGATGCTTTTCGTCTGTTAATTTAATATACAGTATATTCAACCAAGCAGTCATCAGACCATCAATCACGTGGATTCTTATGTATATTATTCATGTAAAATTCCTTCATCACGTCCTTTAATCTTAAATCCACCGTTCTGCACACCTTCTCAGCAACTATAACATTCTCCAGAGATGATAAGAATGCAGTAACAATAAAAAACAGATCTCTTTTCAGATGTTGCAAGATGCTTAAGATAGTTATCGCCGTCACATAATTCGAAGTGAAGCTATAGGAATGCTAACATTAATAGATATTATTAATAAACATTTTTTTTATGAATAACTTTTTATTTGATTCGTTAATGCGATTCGCAATTTTAAAACAACCAATGGAATAAATAGATTACTTATAAATGTACCATGGAAACTTAATAGATTGATTGATGAAGAACCACAGTTAATAGCTCGTATATAACATTTTCAATAGTTTTATGGTCCAGCGATTTACTTTGCCAAGATATGGGACGTAGCGAGTTTTTAATACATCCAAAAACGTGTTATGACACCCTACTTTCGATTGAAAAAAATTAAACTACGCCTTATACGAAACTGTTTTATACTTCTCAAATTGGTCACATGATCAAAGGAATTATCATCATTCTATTTCCTTCGAACACCAATTTAATTTGATGGGATTTGAGGTTCGTCATTTAAAGTCATAAGTTGAAGGTCAATTAACCGTAACGGAAAGATATTGGCAGGACACACATTTTCAAAAGTAGAAAAAGTGAAGCTTCTATTCGCAGCAGATTTATACAGATGATTTCATCCTGTGATAATTCCGTCATAATTCTTTAAAAATTATCTAGATCAGTATATTCAATCAATTCTTTCATTATTGTTTTAATTAAAGTATCTTCGTTTTCTTTTTTACACAAACACTTTGCATCATTCACCTTCTCAGTTTCGCGTTTTTTTTTCTACCCTTTTTCGTATTGGAATACCGGAGAATGCTTTTAAAAGATGTGGATTGCGTGTAGTTAGGATATTTGAATTGTGGTTATTGTTAGGAAGTGCTTCGTATCCAGTGTAAGATTTTATAAAGACGAGAAATAGTCGTTTGGTAAGGAGGACGAATATAGGGTTATTGAAGTTGTGTAAGAAGGAGAGTATAATGGGGTAAGTTAGGATTAGCTATGAAATTTTGGAATTTTAAAAACTATTCTGTGTTGCACCTTGTAAAGTTGCATTAAATCAGGAACACTTATTTACATTGTCCACAAGGAGATTATTTGTTCTTATATCATAAAATGTTTTAATCAAAATAATAATAAAATTTATTGAATCACGATCTGATATTACAAATCATCGGAGATATTTGTTATATCTCAAGAAATTAATTAAAAAGAATTTATTTACGTATTTAATTATATATCTAAATAAAACCAAAATTTAAAAAAAATTTTTTTTTTTTTTTTTCAAAATTATTATTAAAAAAAGAAATTAAAAAATGGTACGCACCTTTAACAGTAAGTGTAAAATCAACAAATCTTTCCCTAACATATAACATACAAACTATAAAATCCATTATCTGATATGCTAATCACAGATTTCGATAACTTTACAACTATCCTAATCGCGATTAATATTCTTATAAAACTTACAACCTGATACCTCATAATCTCGACTCACTTTTCGCGTAAGATATTTGCGTTCCTGTTACGATAAGACGTGAACTATCAAAATATGATATACTTCTAATGGAATACACACAGAATATCGTAATAATTGTCATCAGATCCAACGGATGCCACAATCCATATATTAGGATTCCTTTCGCTTTCAATTAAAAATAAAGAAATTGTTGCAACATTTGATAATTAAATGCATGTTCAAGTGTAATTTGTTTGTGTCCGGTTTAATTATCGCGAAACTTTTTCATAATTTTTTTTTTTGATTAAAAAAAATGCGTTCACCAGGCTACAAACGAGGAATATGGACATTAAATATTATAAATAAATTAAATTTGGAAATAAAAATTTATACATAGATCACTCTTAATTGCATTTTATTCAAGGAATCACATTAATTAAAAAAAATGAGATCTCTTACATTCATTATTGGACTTTGAAATTTCAATACCGGAGGGAGGGCAAGCTCATTAGCTCATCCTCATCCCTTAATAAACAATATATTATTGCCATTTTAAAAGCTTGATATGATGCATTAGGTCCTTGAGATTGACCAGAAATTGGACTAATTTAAGAACAATGATATTTAATTAATATCAAGAGAAGGTTATTAATACATAAGAATGCAGACTTTACTTTCTTAAAAGTCACGTCAATTAATTATATCATATAAATTTAAATATAATTTGAACGTCACGTCGTCACAATCATATATAACAAAGTAAAAGTCTGCATCACTATTAATACAAAATAGAATTTTATGAAAATAATAAAATCATTTATACCCTTATATCGCCGGTTTTGAAATCACATTATAATAACGTTATTAAGTTAAGGAGACACTGCAATAATTGCACGATTGCTTGACTTGCTAATCACAGTTGTCCAAGCAGTATTCATGGAAATAGATCCGGACTTCTATAAGTTTAATAATAATAATAAAAAGTATGTCAAAGAACTTTTTATAATTTTTTATTCAAAGTTTGATGCTTACCTTTGCTCCTGTGGCTACTGTATTTGTATAACGTTTCCCATAGTATTTGTCGCAGTCCAGAATTAGATCCAAGTAAAGCTTGTTGCGCATTTCACATATCCTTTTACGTCTTTTCGTTGCTTCTTCCTCTTCTTCTGAATTCATCTAAGCGATTTTTTAAGAGCAGAATTGTTAAATTGCCACTAACAACAGAAGTAGAAGAAAGAGAAGACGAACTAGATGTATTGGATGAATTTGGACCAGTGATTCCCCAAGAAGAATTTGAGGGTGTTGATTCTCCCTTTGAAATCATACGGTGGAATGAATAGTAACCGTAGAAGAAGCAGCTTTACGTCAACAGCTTTGCGAGCTTCCATTTATTGAATTAGCGTATTTATGAGTGTCTTGATCATCATCTTTTGCCCATGGAGCTGATAAAGTGTGAAAAACATATTATTTCCCCATGATAATAATGCTTTTGTTGAAGTATTTTGACATAGCTTGATCGGAACCTTGTTGAGTAATGGATGTCAATTTTTCGTTATCTTGCTTTTTTTGCGTTGTTCTTCCGACTGAGTTTCTCGTAGTAAAGCGATTCTCGCTACTGAATGACATTTTATTGTAATCTTCTTTGAAGGTGTTTCAACTTGTTCGTTCATAACCTTTTCATCCACTTTTTTGAAAGGTATCTCATCTCCGAGGAAAGGTTTTGTCATAAATCCAACCACACCATTATTTTTACGATCTCTGATCAATATGTGATGACTGTTGTAATCCAATATTGTTTTCTTTTCTCATACCGAGATATCCGAACTCATCTGACTGTGGAACACGCAAAAAGGTATATCCGACACCAGGTAAGAGAGTTGGTTGCTCGGCAGACGTTGACGGCCAACCTGCAAATTTCGTTAAAGCTTCAATGAACGGAGGAATGGGCGCATTTGTAACAGTAGCAGTTACAGGCCAGATATCCCTATATAACTTTGTTGTTGCCTAAGTGTCCGGATAAGCATGTTGGCTTTGTTGTAATTATCAGTTGGAGAATCATATATTTTTGGCGCTCAATCTGGGAAAATAGTGCTCGTCGAGGGCCCATTTAACTTTGAGGTGGTGAAACTTTGAAGAAGCAGCAATATTGTTAAATAGGGTGGTGAATTAGGAACTTACACGCGAGGAGACAAATTTTCGTTGTTAGATGTGAACCGTTTGTTTGTCCCCATGCATTATGTGTTAAGTACAGATCTTCCCAATAGAACGTCATTTTGCCCAAAAACGCTATCATACTTATATCTATCAAATAAGAACTTTGGAATGGATCATTAACAAACGTGATGAATTATTAGGCATAGAAATAATTAAAGGTCTAGAACCCGATATTGGCGCAGAAAAAGGTCTTTCATAATCACCTGTCTTTCGTATCAAAACACCTAGAAGGTTTATCTTCAACCGCTTTAACTAAAAATTATGAACAAAATATCCACCTTATAATATTCATTCATTTTCTGACTAATAAATGGCCTTAAATGATTTTATTAAAATGAATATTACTGTGTAAACCATCACACACTTTGAATATTACCACTTGGATTGCCCGGGCGCTACATTTCTTGGTTCAGCATATATTCCTGTACCGAAAAAAGACCTGTAACCCCAGAATTTTTTTCATCAAAATACATTACCAGTGTCAATAATTGAATGTGCAGTAGAAGATTTGATGGTTTTGCCTGTTTGGGACAACGGTGGTGTGAATTACCTCCTAAATTTGAAAAGGCGAACGCTTCCTTCAATCATCATCATCTTGGTCTTGGTCAAAAAGTATAATAGTGGTTGGTGAAGTTGTAGCAATTGCTGTTGACAGCAATTCTTGTTGATCTTGTAATATTTTTTTGTTGTTGTTGCTGCTGCAATAATAAATAATGTTGTTGTTTCTGTAGTTGTTGTTGCTGATGTTGTTGCAATTGTAGTTGTAATTGTAATTGTTACTGCTTCTGTTCAATTTTCTTGTCTTTGTTGTATTTGTAACTGTTGTTGTTGCTTTTCTTGTTTATATGGTTCCTTATCCTTATTTTGATGAAGCTGCAAATAGTTGCGATAATAAATTCTGTTGTTCCAACGTTAATTGTTCATTTACTCTCTATAATTCAAGTTTATTATCATGTTCAAGTTCCTGCTCAATGTCTTTTTCGTCATCTTTAGATTCGCATAATCTAGATGCCGTAACAACTGATGTTCTTCTTCATGTCTTTGTTACGAACGTTGAAACGACTTTTGTTCTCCTTGGTGAGATTTGTTTGGTTCTGTTGTAATGATGATTCTTTAGTTTCTTGAATTGGGTAACTTTACGAACCTTACTAAATCTTATAAAGTTTATCTTCTCGATTGACATTCTTGTTGCATTTCCTGGTTAAGACCAAGTTGAATCAAAGTGTTTTCTTGAAAATCTTCCATAAACTCATTTCTCGTGGAATCTTCAATGATATTCATAGATTTATTGTTCGTTCTTATTGGACGTCACAATTTCATATTGGGACGACTTATTGGATCCGATCGATCGGATTTTTCTTTTCAAGCTGCATTGGGAATACATAATGTCATACCAGCTTTATTTAAATTTAGAATTAATCTAAACTCTTGCTCGATTTCTTGCAATGTTCTTTCTTAACATATCCGAAAGAAGGGGTATATAATAATATGATATTATACAACTATTTATGGCTTGATATTGGGATATACAAAATAGCAATAGAAGCAATAGCGGCCGTCCTTTTCTTTGACTGTTCGTTAAGTGAAATTCATCATTTACACTGTTTCCAGGGTTTTCTGAAAACCTCATTATCAAAAGTTCAAACAGCACCATTCCAAATTGGATCATCTGAAGTTGAATTGAAAGATCTAGGTGGACGACTGTTGCGAGGACTTGTTCGTCCACTAAGTATAATAACACCGAAACGTTCGCTTCTGTCCACGGCTAATATGTTTCTCGCCACGAAGGAGAAAATGTATACTTTCTCTCTATATACGTTCACTTCCAGTAACGTACAATGATTTAGTTCACTATTAACAGACGCGCCTAATAAAAGCTAAATTGTTGAATAATTTTTTTTATAATTAGAGATTGGATCGGACCGGATCGATCGATCGATATTAAAAATTACAACATAAAGTAATCGGTCGGTCGATCAAAGTCTATATAAAAAATAATTTATGATAAAAATTTTATAACCAGCTCCGACGTTTCTTGAAACAAGTGTGTCGCTGACGTTGCCAATTGTATTACATTTTAAAATAATTATTAATGCAATGCACGATCAATTTACCATTATCAATAAATATAATCCAAGATTGATCAGAATTCCGAAGATATTTATTTAAAAGTCATCCAGCAAATTTTATTTAATAAATAAGAAAAATAAATATAAAAAAAAATATAAAAACAAAAATAAATAAAAAGAACCCGAATAATAATAAAATAATAAATAAAAAGAAACCCATAACGAATAATAAAAAATAAAAAATAAAAGTAACGAAAATAATAAAAAATATAAGAACCAAATAATAATAAAATTAATTTTATAACATTAATGAAATAAGGAAATTCTTAATAGGGAGAAAACAAAAAAAAAGTTTCTTAACAGAACTTTAACTTATAAAATTCTTTGTCATGATGTATAGATTTTGGTTTTTATTATGGGGATTTTTTTTTTTGATTTTGGAGGTTGATACGAAAAGTTTAAATCAAGCCTTAATTTTATTCTTAGGGCTTTTGTTATATATATATAACATTATTATTATTTTGTCAACGCAACGAAGCGGAAACAAAGACATAAATCTTTGGGGGAGGCTGATAACTAAAAAGTTAATTCAAGCCTTTTTATTTGTTTATTTTATCATAATTTTTTGGAGCGTAAAGGTAAATGGAAGAAAAAGATTCATTTTATACAAATTTTTGGTAACATGACACGTGATAAATTTTTTACTAATTAATCCATTAATTGCATCTTTCAAGAATGAAATAACGCAATATTTTTTAATGTTGTTTCAAATGATAAAGCTCATTTATTGTCCCTTGTTCTGAAGATGTTAGACGCGATAAGTTCATTAAATATTCGTTGTTTATGTTTACTATTTGCGTTTCATTTGTTTATAGCTCACTTCTTAAGTGTTTCATGAGAAATTTATGATTTATTATTTTGTTCAACGTAATTTATTTATTGTTGCGATTTTAAGGGTTTTTATTAATTTATTTTCGCATCTTTGCGATGAGATTTTTTTTTTAAAATCTTCATTGATATAAATTTAATATAATACAAATATTCATTTGTCGTTTTCTGTGAATAAATTTGGTTCATTAATAATAGAACTCTATTCCTTATACAGAATTTATATTTGCCCAATGTAATTTGTAACTTAATTTTGACAAATTTTAATCACACGACATCTTTTTTTAATTATTATTCGCGTCCTCAAACGATTAGAATGATCATATCATTAATAAAAAATAATGTATTCAACCAATATAAATTATTATTTAATTGTCTAACATAATATTTATTTATTTTCGCATCTTCCGATAGAAATAAATGAATAATCCTAATCCTTTAAGGGTTAATTAATGATAATTCTATTATCTATAGGTTTATTGATATAAATTTGATTTATATGAAAATGTAACATCAAATATTGTGAGTAACTCTCAGAGAAAATTATCGCTCCGAAATAAATTATCATTTTAGTTCAAGTACTACATGATAGTTACGATGATCACTCCGATGTTCTATACAGTGACGTTATGGTATATACAGTGAAAAAAAATTTCATATTATTCTTAATTATAACCGTTGGTTTCTGCTAAGACGTTAATTATATCTTGAGAGTCAACTTTATCATAAAGAATAGCACGACAGCTTATAAATCCCAAATCTATTTATTTTTTCGAATAATAGGTGATACTATATTTGATTATTATACATTATATGTCAAACTAACATTCATGTTTCCGGAAAAAAATTAGCATTCTTGTCTGTGATTTAAAATTCATGCAAAAAAAAAATAAAAGTTTCACTTGATCCTTACCTTAATCTTATGCAGTATATATATATACTTGGAACATGCATAATTTTAAATTACAGTTATTTCAAATGACATTCTTTAAACGTATAAGGATCCCTGTATTCCAAATCATATACCCACTCCACTAATCAATAATTAATTAAATACTAATGATTTATATTCTTAGCGCTATTCTGCATTTACTCATCATTACAGAAACTTATTGAAATATACTTTTTTTTTAAAAAAAAAAAAAAAATAGAAAAGGTTTTTAACCTATGAAAAGTTCTCCTAATTATTTTCAACCCAACCCAATGAATTGATTTATTCTGCATATTCGATATATTGCAATCTAGATATTTCAATAAAGAAATAGAAAGAACTATTAAATATAAAAGTTGATAAATAATAAAATAATAACAAAATCACATTGAAATTATCAAAGTGATTAGTAGCGGCAATCATAAATTTCATTTCATTTCTTTTAAAAGGAGTTGTACTAATTACTTAGAACTTTATGATAAATGCCTAATAAGGAATTCATATAGGCTGATATGACGCATTTACATAGTGAAATTTTTAGGAAGTTTCTCCAGCATTTTGCCTAAAATTACGGTAATTTACGGTAATTATCACAAATATCCTACAGGTAGATTACAGGTTTTTGAGTCAATGAGTGATTCACCTATATTATCTTATATTTCTATTTTATACTATCTGATTATACCATATTTAAATATTTATTATTGTATTACATAAATTTATTATTTTATTGTTATATTATATTAATCTTATAATTTATAGCTTTAAACTTAATAATGGTTTATCTTTTCCTAGTATTTAATCATATAATGATTATTATTTTATATAAAGCAAGTATTTTATAAGTATTATTATAACGAAATTTTTAAAGAATTTAATTGGCTAGTTCACTATAGTAAAGGTAATTTTAATATATTTGATTTAAAAATTCGCTATATCAAGGGTTCACTATATCAAGGTTTGACTATAGATATATATCATAGAAGATATAGAAAACATATATGACATATTAGTCATCACAGTCATATATATTATTCAGATTATCTATATTATCTTTATATAATACATACAATATATAAATATTTAAACAATTAAATAATTTATTCAAACTTTTACTTTGCAAAAATCTTTTATTTGAATATTTAATATATTAGCATTTTTATATAAAATTTGTATTATTCATTTGAAATTTATTTTGTAATATGAATTTTCTAATTAAATATAATAAATTATGTAAAATTTGTATTATATCAGTATTTTATAACTCAACTTTTTGCTAATTAAATTATTACAAAACTGATTATAAAATATTTAATATTAATTTTTTTATATTATTCATTTAAAATTTATTTTATAATATAAATTTTCTAATTCAATATAATAATTTATATAAAATTTCTATTATATCACAATTTTTTATTATTTTATTTTTTTATTAATTATTAAATTATTATTAATTATATTTTAAAAAATTATGTAAAAATCATAAAAATTAAGTGAAGTTAATATAAAGTTAAATTTTAAATAATAAAAATTTTAAACTTAATTTTTACTAATTTAATAAAATTAAGTTTAAGAATATATATTATAAAACTTAAAGATCAAAAATGCTTTTTGATAATCTATATTTTTTTTTTTTTGAGAAAAATAATGATAGATTTTTTTTAAGTTTTGTTTTTTTTATTCGCATAATCCAAATTTTAACTATAAGACATTTTCTAAGAAAAGTAAAATTAGACCTTTTTCTAGTTCATAAGTAAGTTTAATTAATATTAAATTTACTAAAAATAGATTATCTACTAAATTTTATAATGATTCTATTATATATGTTTTTTTTTTAAAATATGAATGATATAAAAAGCAAAGTTGAATATAAATGTAAAGAAATCTTACCTTCTCCTCTTTCATTTTCAAATTCAAATATTTGGAAATTTTTCTGAAAAATAAAAAAAAATATTATTCCTTCAATGGTTTTTCTTCCAAATTTAGAAGGAATTTTACTTACACTTTAAAGATAATTTTAAATATATTAAAAATTAGTTATTAAGTTAATAATATTATTATAATAAAATTTATGATGTTTTTAAGTAAAATCAAAATAAAAAATTATATTAATTAGTAACTTTTTGCATTAATTTAAGTTCAAAGTTTTAAAAA